GTGCTGCAGCCGCCAAAAAAGCCAACACAGTGCTAGGCTGCATTAACAGAGGGATAGAATCAAGATCACGTGAAGGATTAATACCACTTTACAATGTCTTGGTAAGGCCACACTTGGAATCCTGCATCCAGTTTTGGTCACCATGATGTAAAAAAGATGTTGAGACTCTAGAAAGAGTGCAGAGAAGAGCAACAAAGATGATTAGGGGACTGGAGGCTAAAGCATATAAGGAATGGTGGCTGGAATTGGAAATGTCTAGTTTAATGAAGAGAAGGACGAGGGGGGACAGGATGGCAGTTATTCCAGTATCTCAGGGGCTGCCCCAAAGAAGAGGGAGTCAAGCTATTCTCCAAAGCCCCTGAAGGCAGGACAAGAAGCAACGGATGGAAACTGATCAAGGAAGAGAAGCAACCTAGAACTAAGGAGAAACTTCCTGACAGTGAGGACAATTAACCAGTGGAACCACCTGCCTCCAGAAGCGGTGAATGCTCCAACACTGGAAGTTTTTAAGAAGAGACTGGACAGCCATTTGTCTCAAATGGTATAGGGCTTCCTGCCTGGGCAGGGGGATGGACTTGGAAGACCCCCTTCCAACATCATTATTATTATTATTATTATTATTATTATTATTATTATTATTATTATTATTATTATTATTATTATTATTATTATTATTATTATTATCATCATCATCATCATCATCATCATTATTATCATTATCATCATCATCATCATCATCATTACCCAATTAGGGAACATCCCCCAGCACTGAGGAGGTTACCTAGTTGGATCATGAAACTTCCACAAGAAAACCACCAAGTTCAGAGAGCACCAAGCACCAGTCTTCGTCGTTCTCCTCCTCCTCCTCCTCTCCACAAACCCCACTCTCTTCTAGCACTGATGAGGTTATTTAGTTGGGTTATGAAACATCTGCAAGAAAACAGCCAAGCTCCACGAGGTCACTCACAGAACTCAGTTTGTTACCCCAGTTCGAACTGGGGAAAATTTTTTTATCTCCCACAGTTCCACCACAGATAGAAATATTCCCTTCTGTCCGTAAGCTATCTTCTCTGTCCCAAAGAATTTACTGCCCCCTTTTCAATCCAGCATCCCTCTCTATCACACCGGTACGTGCCACTTGTGTGCAATTGTTTGTTGTTGTTGTTGTGAAGTCGTGTCCGTCCCATCGCGATCCCATGGACAACGTTCCTCCAGGCCTTCCCGTCCTCTACCATCTTCTGGAGTCCATTGAAGCTCACGCCTCCTGCTTCAGGGACTCCATCCAGCCACCTCCTTCTCTGTCGTCCCCTTCTTCTCTTGCCCTCCATCTTTCCCAGCATTAGGCTCTTCTCCAGTGAGTCCTTCCTTCTCATTAGGTGGCCAAAGGACTTGAGTTTCAACTTCAGGATCTGGCCTTCTAAAGAGCAGTCGGGGTTGATCTCCTCTAGGACTGACCGGTTGGATCGCCTTGCA